TGCATTCCTACGGGAAATGCAGATTTGACCTGAGAACTTTTTGACTTGAGAACCGCCTTCCAATACGGATTAAGTTCTCAAGTCAAGACCCCACTGTATGTTATCTCATGGTAGGTCCAATATACAATGACCTTGATTAGAGATGGTGGTATTCATATTCGTATGATATAACTATTTTAGCTTCTGATGAGTGTTTAGTATTTATATATTTATTTAAAATATTTTTACATCTCCCTCCCTTTCTCCAAGGCAGTTTATATAAATAAAAAGTCAATGTTTAAAAGCATTTTTACATCTCCCTCCCTTTCTCCAAGGTAGTTTACATAAATAAAAAGACAATATTTAAAAGCAAAAACAATAAGTATACACATATTTAAAAAGTACAGTATTAAAATGTTATATTAAAGTCAGTAAATAAAATTAATACTAAAAACCCATTTAAAAGCAACAAGGCCTAACTATCCATTTTAAAAAACCCTGTGAGACAGCCAGTCACTAAAGGTAAGCCTGTGTGAAGAGGAGACTGCTTGTCTTTGTAGGCTTGCAGAATGGCAGCAATGATGGAGCCAGCCTGTCCTGCTGTGGAAGAGAGTTCCAAAGTCTGGCAGGAGCGACAGAGAAGGCCCTCTCCCATGTCCCCACCAAATACAAAGGATGGTGGGAACAAGAGAAAGGCCTCCCCCTTGATTTGATTTGTGCTATCTATAAAAATTTCCTTCAACATCACATTTCAATGTTGTCCCTGTCAGTTTTCTTCACTGTCCAGCTTTAACTTCTGCACATAATAATCAATAATATAATCAATAAATCACATAGTAATCAAGTATAGATTATCTCAAGCCTTGTCTCTGATGCCATATCTTTACACTTGTGGATCTTTTCTACTTCATAGCAGCTTTTCCCTGACTCAATTTTCTTTTGATTTCTTGGCTGCAGTCTCCATTTGGATTGCTGACCGAACTGAGGTAAATCTTTAACTATTTCAAATTCTTCATTGTCAGTGTAAGAGTTATGTAAGTCTCCCACTGGAAGCCTGCTCTTGAACCTTTTCCTTTAATCCTCATAGCTAGTTGTTTTACAGCGTTGCCAGTTTCTGGCAGTAATACAGTGTTATCTCCATATTTTAAATTACTGGTGTAATTCCACTAATTTTCACTTCCTTCTCTGAATCTATTTGATCTTGCTCAATGAAGGTTAGAATCCTATAGTGCTTCCGTATGGCCAATGGGCAAGACATCATGATGATTCTCAAGTTGCATTTCAATGTTGTTCCTGTCAGTTTTCTTCACTGTCCAGCTTTAACATCTGCACATAATAATCAATAATATAATCAATATATCACATAGTAATCAAGTATAGATTATCTCAAGCCTTGTCTCTGATGCCATATCTTTACACTTGTGGATCTTTTCTACTTCATAGCAGCTTTTCCCTGACTCAATTTTCTTTTGATTTCTTGGCTGCAGTCTCCATTTGGATTGCTGACCGAACTGAGGTAAATCTTTAACTATTTCAAATTCTTCATTGTCAGTGAAAGAGTTATGTAAGTCTTCCACTGGAAGCCTGCTCTTGAACCTTTTCCTTT